AAGGAACAATACTTAACCCACATGAGGAAAGATATATTTAAACGCCCTGTAGGGCTCTATATTTGCAGATACCTTATCAGAAAGTTGAAAGCGATTAGGGATAGGGAATTATCTCTAAATTTATACTTGAGAATGTAAATTACATACAAACTAATGGGACTAAAACTATTTGATCTTTTAATATTTAATTAATGGTTCCCCATGGCCTTTTTATAGCCTGTGTTCTATTGTGAGCAACAAGACTTTAATAAGCAGGTTTGGGACTTCCCATTGTGTAGCAAGATGTCTTTGCTTTCATGACACTAATTTGGCTTTCATAAGCTCTCCCTTTCCCTAGTTTCTTGCTACAGGGTTCCCTGTGTCTTGCTCTTGCACTAGGAACAACTAACTATATTAGTTGAATTGTTGTTGCCTGTGTGACCTTCTTTTAGATCTAGAATTAGACATCTCACTGGGCAAAAAATTTCTTGAATCCCCTCCTTCCACTGAAATGCCTTAAAGATTGTAATAAAGATGATTTTCTTTCTGAGTACAGACACATACCAAAACTGAAATAAAATGCATTTTCTTCTTTCCATGGAAAAGGAGTCCTGGTGTGACACTGTGGGTTAATGCGCTGGGCTGGAAAGTTGTTTTAAACCTCAAGGTTAGTGGTTCAAGCTCACCAGCTGCTCCTAGGAAGCCCCACACGGTGTGGTTATGAGTTGGAACCAACTCAGGATAGCACTTGACAACAACAACATGGAAAAGGAAAGTATTCTTGAACATCATAAATCCTGTCTGATTTAGAGCTGTTTTTCTTACCTTGTGTATCAATGGCACAGCCATCCTTGTCTAGCCCTATGACACCCAAGAAGGATCTTAATGTGTCTGAGTCCGTAGGAGCTTTCCAGCTATTTCTGCCCCCAGGCTGTCTTCCTGTGTAGCCAAACAGCCCATTGTATGTGGGAAGAGATCAGCTGACATTTATTTTCACTGGTGAATCCATTCCGATGAATCCATTCTGACTCATAGTGACCCTCTAGGACCCAACACAACTGTCCCCCAGGGTTTCCAAGGCTGTAATATTTATGCCAGTGGATGGTCACATCTTATTCTGGTGAAGCAGACCTGCCAACCTTCCAGTAATAGGCAAATACTTAACCATTGCTCCACCATGGATACTCTTACATGATATATTCCATAAAAATGTTGACTAGTCTTTTACACAAGGAGCTCTGGTAGCATAGTGGTTAGGAATCAGGCTGTGAACCACAAGGCCAGCAGTTCGAAACCACCAGTGGTTCTGTGGGAGAAAAATTAGGATTTCTGCTCCTGTAAAGATTTACAGCCTCGGAAACCCTGTGCAGGGTTGCTATGAGTCGAAACTGACTCCATGGCACTTAACAACAAGTCTCTTATACAGAAGCATTTGGGTTATTTCCAACTTTTTGTTATCCACAAACTAGGTACCAGAGAATGTTTTATACATTAGTATGTTATTTTGCACATAAGCAAGTGTACTTGTACCTGCAAGCGTATTTGTACCTGCAGTGTAATGTCCCAGATGTGCAATATTTGGATCAAAGGATGTATTATTACTTTCATTTTTTTTTCTCATTGTTTTCCAAAGAGAAGATCAATAAGGCTTTGAAATTTTCAACATTATTGTATTCATCTCATATTTCTGCTTTAGTATGAGGCATGTAATGCATTCAATAAATGTTTATATTAGGATTATTTTATATTATCCCCATCTCACTTATACTTCTTTCTCTTGAAAAGTATTGTGTTCACTATAGAGCTAAGACATAGATCATGTGATTACAGAAAGAAGAGAGAAATACCTATGTGGAGTCATCAAAACATAACTTTTTTTGAAAGACTTGACCTGTGAATTGCATCATGGGGAAATGAGTTTGGGTGGAGGTAGAATTGTCAGCGAAGCATAGGGAATTTCCCAGCAGGTAGTGCAGCCCCACCATCAGGGTGCCTGGAAACCAGTGATGCTGACTCAACTTCCTCTGTTAGTAGAGCTCAAGGTCTGTTTGATTAATGTCCCAACACTTACTGATTATATGAAACTCAGGTTTCATCAAGGATGGGATACCATGTTAGCTTTCTAGTAAGTCTTTAACCAACAGTAGAGGAATGACAGAGAATCAGAAATCACTCAGCCCAGTGTTTCTCAAACCTGGTGATTTGGTGAAGAATATTCAAATTTCCATGGACTATCAGAAGAACAACAACAACAAAAAATCTGTCTTGGAGGAAGTACCGCCAGAATTCTCCTTAGAAGAGAAGGATGCCAGAGTTCAAAAGTAAGCTCTTTTGCAGGCAGTGCCTAGAACAAACAGGAAACTTTAAGAACTGTATGTTTCCTGATAGGTTTTCTGGAGGAGCTACTGGGATAGGCCTACTGCTGCTGCTGTGTGCCATTGAGTCCGTTCCGACTCATAGTGACCCTGTGTTGGGTTTGCAAGGCTACAAATCTTTTTGGGAGCAGAAAGCCTCATCTTTTTCCTGAGGAGCTGCTGGTGGATCAAACTGCTGACCTTGTGATTTAAAAGTCCAACATATAACCCATTATGCTACCAGGATTCCTTACTAATGGGCCTCGCTCTAGTTTAAAGATTAATTTACTCCTGTCATAATAAGAAATTCATAGAACCTCTAGCTCAGTAATTTTTGAACTTCAACACACAGTATCACCTAGCATGTGTGTGAATAAAACAGAGATTACTGGGCCCCAGCCCCAGGAATTCTGATTTAATACATTTGGGGTGAGTTGCATTTCTAACAAGCAGTACTCTTGCTCCATAGGCAGTTCTATTCCAATGTGACTGCACATCAAAATTCCTGGAATTACATCAGGTATTCAGTAGATAGGATCCACTTATGAATGCATCAGTATTTTTTGAAAAACATCTTGAATGATTAGTTGAGCATTCAGGATTGAGAACCACTGCAACCTAAGGGTTATCTATTCTAAACCATTCATTTCTTAGATGACTAAGTGCACCTGACCCATAACCCATGACACTTTCAATTGCCTCATATGCATGTGAAGGTTGGACAATAAATAAACAGACTGGAGAAGAACTGGAGTCCTGGTGTAGCAATGTAGAATAAGCACTGGACTGTTAACCTCAAGGTAGGAAGTTAAATCAGTAGCTGCTCCTCTGAAACCCTTTACAGTGTTTACTATGAGTCAGAACTGACTTGACAGCACTTAACAAAAACATAGAATAATTATGCATTTTAGAGAAGTTATTTGCCCAATTTCACTCAGCAAAGAAGTGACAGAGATGAGGTAAGACTTCAGACCTTGGATATCTAGTCTATGACACAATGCTGACATCATTTATCAACTGGGTTATATTTAACAGGTTGCAAGTTCACATTCATTCTCTGTGTAGTATGACTTGAGTACCAAACACGTAATATCTCTAAATCCCAGCATTGCTAATCCTTGCAATCTGAGACCTTTCTCTTATAAGAGAAAAAAAAAAAAAAAGAACTTGCACACTTTTAAATATTTCTTTCTTCCAGGAATGAAGTGTTGTAGGATTTTTATTTTCTTGTTTCCCAGACCTATGATAAAAGGCAGTTGACTTTGAAATATTTTTGTCACGGATTCTGTTTGTCCAAATTAAGTTTTAGATGGGAATCGAAACAGGAATAGAACAGAGCTGCGGCAGATGAAGTGGAGGTACAGGATGATAAGCTTCACCTATTTCTGTCCCTGCAGCCCAAGTCATCCAGAACATGATGAGTGTGGGATTCAGCGACCTGGGTTCAAATTCAAGTTTGTCATGAATTAATTATGTGGCCTTGAGATGCAAATGGTTCACACTTTAAAGTGTTAAAAGACAAATAAGATGTTTTGCAGCAGATTTGTCCAATGAAATATGTTGTTTGATAGCTTGATTGCAGATTTCCATGGGCACGGTTTGCGCTGCCAAATAAAATGGGATCCTTCACAATGTCAGTCTTTTCTCCATTTATCATGCTGTTGCTTATTGGTCTAGTTGTGAGGATTTCTGTTTTCTATATATTGAGATGTGATCCATATTTCATCAATAAATGCTTCAAGTCCTCTTCACTTTCAGTAAGCAAGGTGTGTCTTCTGTGTATCACACATTGTTAATGAGTATTCCTCCAATCCTAATGCCACATTCTTCTTCATATAGACAAGCTTCTCAGATTATTTGTTCAAATGATTTTATTAAAGCATACAGATTTAGTAAGTATGGTGAAGAATATGATCCTGACATAACACTTTCCTGATTTTAAACCATGCAATAATCCCCTTGTTCTATTCAAATGGCACCCTCTTTTTTTTTTTTAATTTTTTTATTAAGGTTTTATTGTGAATTGAGTTATAGTTTACATAGGAGAACATCAGCTTCACATTCATCTTATTGTATTTCATTTCATTGAAATGATTACAATCCCCTCCATGCATCATCAAACAACCAAAGGGTATACTCCACAATCCTGCCCCTTGGTTATCAGCACAGAACCCCTCTCCCTCCCTGAGTCCAGAGTGCCCAGCTGCTCCATCTCTCCATGTCGTCGTCTCTGCCTCCATCTCTGGAGTCACTGCTTCTCTGGGTAGGGACCCACACTCAGCTCTTCTCCTTGATGGTCCCAGGGTCCTCTACTCCTGGACTGTAAGGTCAACCACTCCCCTCCTTTTGTTACAAAACATCAAATGACACCCTCTTGATCTTTGTACAGATTTTGCACAAGCATAATGTAGTGTTCTGGAATTACCATTCTTCACAATGTTAACCACAGTTTGTGATGCTCTATACACTTAAATGCTTTTACATAGTCATAAAACATAGGAAAACATTTTTCTGGTATTCTGCTTCCAGCCAAGATCTATTTGGCATAGCCCTCATTTCATGTGTTCTTCTGAATCCAGCTGAATTTTGGGCAGTTCCCCGTTGATGTACTGGTGCAACAGTTTTTGAATTCTTCTCTAAACTAGATATTTTCTTCTTCCTATTCAGCCGGGGGCCATTGACACTGCCTTGGAAGATTTGAAAAGCCATGTAACAGACACTTCTGGAGAGACCATTCAAGGCTCCTGGCTCTTAACTGAGTGAGTAGTTACAGCCAAATAAATGGCAGTGAAAATATAGCCTTTTTCTTGATTGGTACTATACCATATGAAAAAATGTATATATATAAAAAATTATTACTGGCTGATTGCTTACTGTTGAGTTGATTCTAACTCATGGTAATCTCATGTGTACAGAGAGGAGCTACTCTGTTGAGTTATCAAGACTGACCTTTCTGAAGCATGTTTCCAGATCTATCTCTTGAAATGCCATTGGGTGGATTTGTATTTGAATGCTTAACTTTTTGTGTTACTCAGGGATCCTCTTCTGGCTGTTATATAACCCAATTTTCACCCTAAAACTGTTTGTTTTGTTTTCTACTAGTCTCATCATGCAACCATCACTGAAACAACCTTAGATGAGATTCTCACCATTGCTTTTAGGGACCACTGTACTCTCTCTGGATCCAACCTTTCTCTTAATTGTCAGTCTGGTGTGGCACTGTGGGTTAATGCACTGGACTACAAAGTTGGTTTGAATTGCAAGGTCTGTGGTTCAAGCTCACCAGTTGCTCCTAGAAAACCCTATACTGGGTCAGAACTGACTTGATGGCACTTAACAATAACAACAACCCAACTGCAGACCACTACTATCTACCTAGTTAGGCTGTAGTGAAATGAAAGACTGGAGAACAGGGTAAGGTCAACATATATGAGTGGGTGTCAGAAAGTTGATGGAAAAATGGAATTAAAAGATAATGTAATTATTCTATGAACTTTTTGAAGCCTGACTTTTATTTTATATACAATTATCTGAGCAACAAAACCATGTAATACAGAGATGATAAGTCAGTTGTCCAGAATTAGGATGAAAACCAAGTCTAATGTGTAGGTCCTTGTTGCTGTCACTGTTCAATAACAGCTTCCATTCATCCCAAGGTATTATTATAGCTCTAATAACTTTAATGAAAATGCCATAAAGATGATATATTAATATCTACACAGAGACATTGATGTATGTGTAATCCTTTCTCCACCTTCCAGAATACTAATTCCATGGTTGTTATAATAGTAAATGTTAATTCATTTAACTAGGTAAAGAGGCAGCTCTGTACTAATACAGAACTTATAGTGTTAAGTAGAGAATGCTATTACAATTCAACAGTAACTTCTGTTTTATGGCTTGGTAATGTGACCAGCAAAGATCTCAGTAGAAAAGCTCTGCAATTCTAACACCTTAAGAGAAGCATCATTTATTCATTTACCTCATTCCAGAACATATTCTATGACTAACATCCAGGCCACTGAAACAAAGCTCTCAATAAATGGAAGGTAGATGTAGATTCACGAGAAAGTTTATCTGAAGGACCACAATATATGCTATTGTTTCAGATGGAATCCAATAATTAATGAGAATGAACTTTTGAACCCAAACTCTGTCTGCTTTTGGGTCTTTGTTTCCTCTTATATTAAATGGAATCAATAATGTATACTTGAAGAATCTTTGTGAAGACTAAAGAAAATACATTAGTAAAATTCTAAGCAAATTTCCTGGCATATAGTAGATTTTCAATTATAAACACAAATTAAGATTGCTTCTTTGTTCCTAAGTACAGTTAATAGAAGATTTGTTTTATTTTTATTTTCTTTGTAGCCTCTTTCTATCCCACCCATACCTCTTATTCCTGGATTGTTTCTAATGAAGGTTATTAACTGTTCACTAATTCACTTTTACTGCTTTAGATTTCATTCCCCATTTCCCTGTCTACCTCACCTACACCGCATTGCTGTGTAAAATGTGAGTTCTTCAAAAGAAATTTCACCTTGATTAGGAAAGATGGCTTTCATAGATTCTGAAGCTCAAATTGCAAGTAAACACTTACCTATTTTACTTCTATAATGACCTCCAACTTGGAATTGCAATATTAAAGGAGTCTATGGGAATCCATGGGCATAACAAATCTGTGAAGATATTAATATAACATCTTTGTTGTAGCGTTTTCAGTTAAAGTTATTAGAGCTTTCATTATATTTTGGGGTGAATGGAAGCTGTTATTAAACAGTGACCCAAAAGAATGTGGAAATCATTGGACAATATCATTAATATGGCATACCAGTGAAATTTTGCTAAAGCAAAGATTTTTTAAAAAATGACTGCAATCAATACATTGACAAGGAACTTCCAGATTCAAGTCAGACTCAGATGATGACAAGGAATGAGGAATATCATTGCTGACATCAGAGGGATCTTGGCTGAAAGCAGAGAATCCCAGAAAAATGTTTAACTGTGCTTTATTGACTATACAAAGGCTTTCGACTATGTGGATCATGACAAACTATGGATAACATTATGAAGAACATATTTTCCAGAAAACATATTGTGCCCATGAGGAACTTGCACATAACCAAAAGGGAATCATTCGAACAGGGGATACTGAGTGGTTTAAAATCAGGAACAGAGTGTGCCAGGGCTGTATTTGTTCATCATACTTATTCAATCTATATACTGAGCAAATACTTGGAGATGGTGGATTATATGAAGAGCGTGCCATTATGATTGGAGGAAGAGTCTTTAACAACCTGTGATATGTTGATGATACAACCCTGCTGTAACAGAAGATGACTTAAAAAAAAAAGTTACTGGTAAAGATCAAAGACCACAGCCTACTGTATGGATTGTACCTCACTATAAAGAAAATAAAAATCCTTACCACTGGACCAATAAATAACAGCTTGAAATGTGGAGAAAGTTTGAAGTTAGTAAAGACTTCATTTGGCTTGGATCCACTATCAACGCTCTTTGAAGCAGCAGTCAAGAAACCAAATTCCATACTGCATTAGACAAATCCACTGCACAAGACCTCTTTAAAGTATTCAAGAGCAAAGATAACAGTTTGAGGGCTAAGGTGTGCCTGACCCAAGCCATGCTATTTTGAATAGCTTCCTATACATGTGAAAATTCGATACTGAATAAGGAAGACCATCGAAGAATTGATGTATTTCAGTTATGATGTTAGAGAATACTGCAAGTACCATGGAGTACTAGAAGAGGAAGCTAATACCTGTTGGAAGATGTACATACAGACTGAATTCTCCTTGGAAGGCAGGATTGTAACACTTCATCTCTGATACTTTGGACATATTATCAGGACGGAGCAGTTTCTGGTGAAGGACATTAAGCTTGGTAAAATGGAGGGTCAGAGAAAAAAGGAAGATGGATTGGCAGAGTTGTAACAGCAATGAGATCAAGCATAATGACAATTGTGAGGATGGCACAGGACCAGCAGGGCTTCCTTTCATTGTGCTTCAGGTGGATATGAGTCAGAATTGCCTTGATGGTACCTAACAAAAACAAAAACAAAAACATATTAGCTTGTATGATGTGAATTGAGACTTAATTCCCTAATTCTGTGTATTCAAATTAGTGTAGCACTGTGGGTAAATGCATCAGACTTCAAAGCTGTTTGAACTGCAAGGTTGGCAGTTCAAGCTCATCAGCTGCTCCTCAGAAACCTTATACAGGTTGGAGTTGACTCAATGGCACTTAACAACAACAACAACAATAAAATGATTGGCCTGGTATGGCACTGTGGGTTAATGTGCTGGACTGCAAGTTGGTTTGAACCACAAGGTCGGTGGTTCAAGCTCAACAGCTATTCCTTGGAAACCCTATATAGGGTCACTATGGGTTGAAACAAATTTGATAGCAATTAACAACAAGAACAAAATTATTTGCAGCACTAATAGCTTTCAAATAAATGTGGAAAACTATGCCCCAAACCTCCATGTTTGGTACCCAACTGTGAACTTAATAAGCTGTAAGAGTTATCCAAGTGGATCGGACAGCTAGTTTTCTATTTCTCTTTTGTATTGTGGTATCAATTTGAATTCAGGACAAGAATAAGAGATGATGTCCTTTTCACAGGGGAGTTCAGGCAATTATATTTGCTTGTTTGTTGTCAGTCTCCCTTTTTTTGCAATTTGGGACCCCGTTTTCTTTAATGCTAACTATTTTGTTAGTGAACATTTTAGTTTTCATCCCTACCCAAATTTCTAACTTCTTGCCCCTTCAAAATGCTACATTTATGAAAATATCTGATTTCAATCGTTTCTACCATAATAAGAATTTGTCTCTGTGATGTGAAAATGACAGTGAAGGAAATTTAAAATATTTACTGATAAAGATCAAAGACCAGAGTTTTTACTATGAATTGCACCTCAATGTAAAGGACAAACAAATCGTGATAACTGAAGAAATAAAATAAATGGAGGAAAGACTGAATTTGTCCATAATCAGTGCTCATGGAAGTGGCAACAAAGAAGCCAAAGGATGCATTGCATTAGGCAGATCTGATGCAAAAGACCTCGTTTTAGTGTTTAAGAGTCAAGATGTCATTTTTAAGACAAATGTGTGCGTGACCCAAGTCATGGTATTTTCAATTGCCTCATATGCTTGTGAAAGTTGGACAGTGGATTTGGGAGACTATAGACGAATCGATACATTTGAATTATGGTTTTGGCAAAAAATATTGAAACAACCATGGACTGCCAAGAACATACAAATCTGTCTTGGAAGAAGGACAGTCAGAATGTTCCTTAAAAGAGAGGATGTTGACACTTCCCCTTTCATTCTTTGTACATGGTGTCAGTAGGAATCAGTCCCTGGAGAAGGACATCATTCTTGGTCAAGTGGAGGGTCACTGGAAAAGCAAGATCCCCAATAATATGGACTGACTCAGTGACAGAAACAATTATCTCAAATGTAATAACAATTTTTAAAATGGTGCAATGTGGGGCAGTATTTCATTCTGGTATGCCTAGGGTAGCTATCAGTCTAAACTGACTCAAAGGCACTTAAAAACAATAAGAATAGGTTATTTTGTTTCTTTTTTGACTGTTATATCTTATAATTGGTTCAGACTTATCTCTTTGCAATTGCTAAGTGGCTAGTTGTGAAGAAGGTGCTTCAGGCATCTTAACTAAACAAATGAGCCCTCTCTACTGCACCCACTTTAACTGTGACTCTTGGAGCTACTGGCTGA